ATGCTGAATTGCACAAAACGCATGATCGCACCGGCTAATCTGGTGCGCGCTGCTATTTATTCATCTGGGGACCCAAAAAAGCTAAAAGGCTGAAACTCTGGTAACTTAATTCATACGCATGTATGGGTTCTATCTGCAAGATGGACGCTCTTGCCTACGTGGCTCCAATATAAAGGCCCGCGAAAGTTTTTGGTGGACAAGTTGCTAACTCAGAAACCAATAATTGGCCAACGCACGGGCTGCCCGTGCGAAGATGCGTTTTTCATAGCTTCCCACAGATTTTTGTCGCTAACGGCACTGGTTTTTTCGGCAGATGCTTCTAGCTAAAAGAATTTCAGAGGGGCCGCCAGGACTGTTAGAAAACTTCCCCTCAAAATTCCAGTCTTCTAGCTTCTCAGATGCTCGAGTTAGCGACTTACCTGAAAAAAACTTTGGCGGGCTCGTACGCGGGTGCAATGCTTACCCGGGGGCTGGGTATGAGCTCATTAATACCCACTTGGGCGGAGAACATCCCCCAAGATTTCAGCTTTCTAGCTTCTCAGATCCCCGAGTTATCAGCTTACCTGAAAAAAACTTTGACGGGCTCGTACGTGGGTACCACGCGGAAAAGGGCGCCCATTTTGGGGAAAGGGGCCTGTACGTGCACGTAGATTAAGTTCCCAAAGTTTCAGCTCTGTAGCTTTTGTAGGTCTTGAGATGAAAAATCGGTACAGATGCACACACAGACAACTCCTCGTCAATATGCGTTCTTGCATTGCATAGCTGCAAAAAACGCATTAAAAACTAGAAAGCTGAAATTTTAAGGGCATGTTTCCCCTCTATGTACAATTTAATGGCTTCAAATTGGCCCCCAGCTGTGGGTGGTTCTTAAGCCGGGCTCGTGGAAATTTCACGAAGACGTTCCCGGCCCACATAAAACCTAGTGACTCCCCGCTTGCGTGGCTTTCACGTACAGGCCCGTGAAATTTCTGGCGGGTGATTTACTAAATTTTATTAATTTACATTTAAAGTTTTATTAATTTCTTCTTTCCAACATTAAAATATTACTTCATTACTAACTCGGGGACTAGAAAAGATCTAAGGCTGAAATTTTAAGGGGATGTTTGGTAATCCTGGCGGCCAGTCTCAATTCTTCTAGCATCTGCTGGAAAAACTGGTACCAAAAACCGTCGGGGAAAAAGCATCTACGTACCAGCGCTGACCAATTATCATACATGTGATTAATTTCTCTACAATACCTTCTTCGGCAAACAAACAGCAAAAAATACGCACAGTGATTCGGCAAGCGAAGGAGCCAGTGCTTACCTGAAGAAGTTCTCCCATCTCTGCCTACGGACGACTGCATCATTGTAGTGCAATTTGTAGGTGATATAGCCCGATACAGCAGTGCCAACAGCAAGCCAACCCACTGTCCAGCGCCACAGCGGATAACGCAAATTCGGTGTCCTTCCGAACATTGCTTAAAGAAGACACCAAACGTATAAACAACAAACACAACTGCAAACATCACGACACCTGCCTGACGCCATGCAGTAGGAAACGAATAAATCTACCAAGAATACCAAGACCGCTCGGGCTACCAATGTAGCTATCCCTGGTGGAACGTTGGCGGAGCTGGGTTTCTCGTCAGCAGGCAGAGGCCTCCTCCGAAGAAATATATGGAATGTGAAGCCCAGAAATTGCCGAAATGGTCGAATTTTGCCAGCATACCGCTGCTGAACAAGGAGTTGCCGGCTTAGGTCAACAAATTAGCCTTGTCTCCTTACCAGTTTAAAATGTGAATGTATCCGGAAGTGACTTATGTAGCAACAGTAACCACATAACTTTTTGTTAAAGCCAGGGAAGTTAGAAAGCTGAAATTTTGTGGGGGTGTTTTCTGACAGTTCTGGCGGCCAGTCTCAATTTGTTCAGCTAGAAGCATTTGCCGAAAAAACCGCTGTGGGTAACTATGCAAAAAACGCATCTTCGCATAGGCAGCCTGTACGCTGGCCAATTATTTAATTCTAGAAGGGACCAGAAGCTCGACGGTACCCCGGATAGAGGCCTCAGTTG